TTACTTGACTTTATTTATGATTTTTTATATATATTTATAATTTTAAAATTATTTTATATGTTGTACCCTTGCCGTTCCTGTATCCTATAATTTTAAAAATTACCGTTTTTCGTCCCTGTATCCGTTCCCATAACCGTATCAGTGCAACATAGGTTCCATCCCTTGCCTTTCATTGTGTTCTCTTTTGACTATAATAATCGGAGTGGGTCTTTGCGAGTGCTTGTGTAGTTGTCTTCCTCGACTTGGTTTTTTTTGGGCTGTTTAAGCTGTTAAAGTTCTTCCATGTCGTTTTTGGGCATTCTCTTCTCTGTTCTGGTTTTGAGTCGATATGGGCAATCTTTTATTTCTAGCGGTGTTCTGTCTTATCCTGTTATGGTCATTGATGAAGCTTTGAATTTTGAGAGTAAAGTTCATGTGTTTTTGAATTGGGATTAGTGTTTAAAGATGGATATAAAGCCATGAAGTTTGATGTAATTTGTTTTAGCTGCTATTTTGCTTTCGTTTTGGGGTTTTAGAATTGAGGCCTCGTTTACTCCAGTTGATAATTGCTTGTGGTTCTTCAAGAAATGTTACATTCCGAGGTAGAAATTTTGTCCCTGATTCTGGCCGTTCTTCTCATTCGTTGAAGAGTGAAACTTCTTTTGTTGCTAGCTCCGATTAGATTCATCCATCTCCGATTTATCAATCGGCTCGAGTTTTCTCTGGCATTGCTTCGATATCCATCGAGATGGCCATCCATTGAAAAGGCCACCATTGGATCTGGCTTTACCACCCACTTTCGAAATCGGGACAGAACTTGTCGATGGATGGTGAGTATGAATTGAGGATCGAGGTGTGATCGAGAGGCGACGTCAGTGACGATGATGGTGGCGATGTGAGTCACCGTTAATCGAAAGTGGGGTGACTAGGAAGGGGAAGAAGAAGAGTCACTGAAGAAGGATGAAGAGTTTAACGACATTTAAGTGTCACGTCAACAGAAAAACTAACGGAGGTAACGACAGAGACAGAAATGAAAACGAATTCAAAGTTTGATGATTGTATTGCATGTTTCAAAAGTTCCATGACCAAAATATAAGCGCCTTAAAAGTTAGGAAACTATTTATATATTTTACCCATATTTTTTTATAATAATTTTTTAGTTAAATGCGATGTTTATAGCTTTTAAGAGAAAATATATTTATTATTAAACTCTAATCAAATTATTTTAAGCATAATATATCCTTAAAATTTTAAAACACTTGCACTTTTGTCACCAACTTTTAAAAATTTACATCTTATCAATCAATTAAAAATGAGTAACATGTTATGCTTGAGGTATGAGTGGAAAAAATAAAGCACCTTTTTAACTTAAATTAACTATTCCCATCAATTTTTTTTTTTTGAAAATTTTGATAGTTATTAGTTAAGGGATTCATTCTTTAACGGAAAATGCTCACGTGAGGCAGGTTTAATATACAGCGCTGTAGAACTTCCCTCCTTTAACTAGTAGTAGAAGAAGAAGGATCAATCATTTTTAGAAATGAATCGATCTTTTATCAATAGAGGTGTTCACTTCTAGGAATGATCACTTTTATTGAAATTTAGTTTATTTTTCTCATCGATTTTGAGAAGTTATGCTTCAATCATTTACATTATTCATTTATTAAATTTTGGTCATTTATGTTTTCAATTATTATGTTTCGGTCCCTAAAGTATCAACTCGTATTAATATGATTAGGTGACATGTTAGTAAAAGGAGTTAATTTTTAATTTGATTCCTCAACTTTAAATAAAATTTTAATTTGACCACTCAATTCAACCATGATATCTTGTTGCCAACCAACCTCCCACTACTATCTTTGTCACTCGTCATCGGTCGTTGCTACTAACGACCTTTAATCCCTAAAGTTCTTGTTCACTTCTTTTTAGCCTCCTAAATGTGAATTCGTTATTCGTTTCATCCAATTATGTCACAAACTCAGCAAATTTAGTCTAGAATCATCAGACATTCTTTTTGGCCTCCTTAACGTGAATTTGATGTTACTTTCTATCCAAATTATTTTTGGTTCGAGTAGCTTTCAGTTTGAGCTTTTTTCTGTTCAAATTAAATTAGATACGTGTCTATATCGATCTAGCTAAAATTCAAGTCATTTTGATTTAGTTCAGTTTATTTCAAATTTTAGATTAATTTTAGACTATCATGTTCGGAAATAAATTAATTTAATTAATCATATATTCGAATCAAGTTTGTCGATCTAATAAGACACATGCTATGGTGCGGAAAACTTAACTCTCAATTCTCCAACCTCTCTTCAAAAACAAACGCTCAGAAACTATAACCGTTCGAAAAATAAATGACTAGAACTCCTCTCTTCTCATCCATTGTCGAAAGCACCTCTCTTTAAACCTCACTGTTTCAACTCCTAGGAAGAAAAACAATTCCCACATTTTCCAAGAATGTTCAAACCAGACATCCTTAAACCCAGGCAAACAGGCCCGTTGCCAAATGATAATATCTGGGTTTGTCCCAACAGTCTTTGTAGCCAATTGGTTGCTCCAGTTGTATATTAAATGTGGGCATTTGGGATATGCTACTAAATTGTTCGATAAAATTTCTCAACTAGATGTTATGTCCTGGAATGCAATGATTTTCGGGAATGCTAGTAATAGGATGATGAAGACTTCAAGGAGGTATTTTGATGATATGCCTGAAAAGGATGCTAATTCTTGGAATTCATTGATTTCAGGGTACCTGAAGAATGGTGAGTGTTTGAAATCCATTTTGGTTTTCCTGGAAATGATTAAGGCGGGAGTTGGATTTGACTGGACAACCTTTGCCTTTTTTTTCTTTTTTGAAATCTTGTGTTGTTTTGGAAGAGTTTGATCTGGGGCTACAAGTAATGGTGTGGCTGTTAAAGTTTCTTTTGATAGAGATGTCGTTACAGGAAATGCTTTGGTGGATTTTTATGGGAAATGTAGAAGGATAGATGATTCAATTAGGTACTTTTATCAAATGGCCGAGAAGAATTGGGTTTCTTGGAGTGCTGTCATAGCAGGTTGTGTTGAAAATGGTAAGTTTATTAAGGGTGTTGAATTGTTCAAAGACGTGCAAAGTGGAGGTATTGGGGTTAGTCTATCAACTTATGCTAGTGTTTTCAGGTCATGCGCTGGGTTCTCTTCATTTTGGTTAGGAACGCAGTTGCACGGTCAATTTTCGCATGGTCATTTTTCGCATCAGAATCGATTGTAGGAACAGCAATTTTAGATATGTACGCAAAAAGCGGTAATATGATTGAAGCTAGAAAGATATTTGAACTGTTTCAGAATCTCAATTTGCAATCTTTTAATGCCATAATTATAGGTTATGCCCAAAGTTGTCAGGCCATTGAAGCGTTGCAGTTATTTCGACATTTGCTCAAGTCTGAACTTGGTTTTGATGAAATAAGTTTATCGTGAGCGTTTAGTGTTTCTGCAGTCATTAAAGGGTATTTGGAGGGCGTTCAAGTACATACCTTGGCAGTCAAAACTACTCTCGAGTCAAATATTTGTGTGACCAATGCTATTCTGGACACGTACGGCAAATCTGGAGCTTTAGCCAAAGCATGCCGTGTTTTCTATGAAATGAAGAAAAGGGATGCTATTTCTTAGAATGCAATTATTGCAGCACATGAACAGAATGGAAATGAAGATCCATAATAGAACAATTAAATCCGGAATAGGGTTGCATTAATTCGTTGGAAGTGCTTTTGTTGATATGTACTGTAAATGTGGGATGATGGAAGAGGCAGAAAAGATCCATGACTGAATAGAGCAGCAAACCATGGTCTGTTGGAATGCAATAATTTCCGGATTTTCTCTACAAAAAGAAAGTGAAAAAGCTCAGAATTTTTTCCCGGATGTTGGAAATGGGGGTAAAGCCAGATCACTTCACTTATGCAACAGTTCTTGATGCATGTACTAATTTGGCCACTTTTGGACTTGGTAAACAAATTCAAGCTCAAATCTTCAAGCTTGAACTGCAATCGGATGTATACATATGCAGCACCCTTATGGATATGTACTCAAAATGTGGAAACATGTATGATTCCAAGCTCATATTCGAGAAAGCAACTAATCAGGATTTCGTAACATGGAATGCCATGATTTGTGGGTATGCCCAACATGGCCTTGGAGAAGAGGCCCTTCAAATTTTCGAGGATATGATTATTGAGAATGTGACACCAAACCACGCAACATTTGTTTCTGTCCTTAGAGCATGTGCACATATAGGGCTGGTAGAAAAGGGATTGCATTATTTTGCCATTATGTCAAGTGACTGGTTTAGCACCTCAGTTGGAGCACTATTCCTGTATGGTGGATATAATGGGAAGGGCTGGCCAAATTAATGAGGCATTGAGACTCATAAATGTTATGCCTTCTGAACCAGATGATGTTATATGGAGAACTTTGTTTAGCATTTGCAAGATCCATGGGAATGTAGAGGAGGCCGAGAAAGTGATTGATTCTCTTTTGCGATTGGACCCTCAAGATTCCTCTGCTTATATTCTTCTATCGAACATTTACACTGATGCTGGATTGTGGGACAAGGTTTCGTATACAAGGAAGACGATGAGGTATAATAAGTCAAGAAGGAACCTGAGTGTAGTTGGATTGAAATAAAAGATGCGGCTCATGCATTCCTTGTTGGTGAAAAGGCTCATCCAAGATGAGATGCTTGGTATCTTACTTGATGAAACGCGATGCTGAGTGGCTGGTATAGAGTTTTTGCTTGCTGATGAGGAGGCAAACCATGAAAATCAGCTTGTGTAATTCTTAATTTTTATTGCCATAAAGACGAGAGTTCTTTTTTTTTTTTGGCATAGTGTATCTATAAAACACAGGAAATTCTGCTGTAAATATATAATTAATTAAAAGAATTTCTTTAATAAACATTGTAAATACAATTGTTCAAATCCGAGTTTTCTAGGAAGAAAAACATTCTCTTTTACCACTGAACTATGCAATGAGTTAATAAAAAAAAAATATGAAAATCTCATCAGGAAGGTTCAAATAAACCATCATCCATAAGCGGCATGATGAATTGCTTCCGTTGCTAATGATACATTACTAGGCTAACCTTAGCTCTACTACCATTAAGGTCTAGTACTACAAGGCAGCAAGAGAAACTAGGAGTTCTCACTTGAGGAAGAAGATACTCCCGTGCTTATCCTTCATAACTCGTCTCTCGGAAGGCTATCTCTTCGAGACGGGATGTATGACGTATATGCTTGAATAATGGACGCGTACACATCGATTCCTTTCAAGTACTCAGCTTGGTTTAGAAACTGCAGTAGGGAAGAAAAACGACAGGTAGGTACATCACATTCCTGCTAGTTGCTGACTATGATATACGACTGCTATCCAAAACATATTCATGAAATTCAGTAGTTTTTGCTGTCAGAATTTAAAGCTACATTTTTTTAAATGTAAGAATTTTATTAAAGTGCAGTAAAAGCAAGCATTGTTAGGGGACTCGTTAAAAAACCTCCCTAAACCTAAGAGGAGGAAAAAGAGTGCACCTAAGCAGTGACAAACATCAAAGATAGCAACTCAGACATAGGAATGAGAACCCTAACACCATCTCTTAGACCACCTAGATAAACTTAACAACCCTCACCACCAGTTTAACGAATCCGAGTTTTCTACATGGCATTGCATTGCTATATATCTAACCAAAAAACCAAGGCTAAAATGCAGCAAATGGTGAGCGACTTCTTGAAATTAAGATGGAACAAGGAAAAGAGAAGAAAAGAGTTTAAAATAAATGCTCACAATTCATTTAGCACTTGGAATTTGCAAGAGCTAGAATCCAAGCATGACAAGAAATTGTTTCTTCTTGAATGCTTAGTGAAGTGACCGTTGTGGTTAACAGTATTTAGGTTTTTACTATTTACAGTCGTAATACAAGTTGTAAGCAGAAATATGTCAATACTGATACTATTGTGGGAATGTGAATGAATATGCAAGCATGTGCATCACATTGACATATGACAGTAATGATGCACGACGTACCTCATTATGGTCATGAAGCAAAATAGGAGTGTTAGCCATAGGTGAAAAACCAATAGCTGGAAGGCCCACTTGCCGAAAATAGAAAACATCTGTAGAGGCCGGAAAAATCTCTGGCTTCCCGACCTTTCCATTAGCTTTCTTGATAGCTTCTTCCAACAGAGTCCACCATGGGTTAGAACTGTCGGTGGCAGTTATGAGCGGCCTTCCCAAGTGATCAACGGTAGTATCCTTTTCCTTAAACTGCAGACAGGAGTAAGTAACTAGTTTTAGCAAACATCAAAACACCATGTGAAACTCACACAAATGGCCAGCCTTCTACTTTTTCTAAAACTTATCACCTTTATTTCCCATGGAATGCACCAATTTTGTATTTAGATAGCAACTCAGATGATATAAAATCAAAACAATTTGATAAGTGCCACTATCTTTGAAAAGCATGAGAGGGGGACTTTATAACTGTTGGTATGAACAGAATAAAATATGAACAAATCATAGGATGTCACCATATTGATTCCAAGTCAAATATTGCAGGATCTCCCATGAAATTTTGAAATCACAGATTTAGGAAATGGTACACCACCCTTTTATTTATTACTGAATGCCAACTTTTTCCAAGAGAGAACGCATCACTTGCTCTACCTCAAATGACATGTTCCTAGAAGCCGGTGCCCATTCCTCGGCTATCCGTTTCTCCAAGGATTCTGTATTAGCTGTTGGTGGTACTCGAATGTCAAAACCAGCTTCTGCTTCAGATGGCTGCAAATTCATAACAAAACCCTGGCAGAAAATTTTAAAACAATGTGTATGTTAGAGGTAGATATTATATATATCACCATTTTTTACCATGAAATCAAAGAATATGTGTGTCTGCATATGGCTACTGCCTTGGCAACAAAATTGACTAAATATCAGTAGCATGATTGTATGTAACAATGGGAAAGAGAAAAAACAAAAGATCTAATTGAGAATCCAATGTTTGCTCTACTACAGTTGTTAAGTCAAAGACTTTGTAACGAGTTAAACCTCTACTCTCAAATTAAAAATAAAAAGGAAAAAGGAAGAGCAATTCTAAAACCAAGTTTAAACTGAATAATCAGTTTCAAATAAGAGTGGATTAAGTAACTTAAGAGATACTTGTTATAGTCAACTGCACACATGAGCACTTTGGTATTTTGCTTTTAGGTAATATTTCATGCATTGCCTTTGTTGATTGATTGTATGTAACTTGAACAAATGGAAGATTATGAGAACTGAAACATAAACACCAGGGTTTCAAAAAACGTTCCGCGACCGCGATATAGCGATTTCGCCGCCGTCCGAGTTACCCACTACACCAGCAATAGCGCCTGCGACGGCCACAATCACGGTAAACCCGAAATGACCGAAAACACGACCGTGACCGCGATTTGAAACCCTGATAAACACTTTATAAAAAGGTCTATTAATTGAATGTGCTAACTGTGTTATTTTTAATGAGCATTTTTAGCGCAGAAAGTTTAGTCTTTAGTTCATGTGGCAACCAAGTGCTCTAAGGAACTATGAAACAAAGATACTTACAGTGGGAGAAGGCGTGCCGGCCTTAAGTGAGGCCATGTTAACCGAAATGACATCCCCTTCACTCTTCAAACCAGCTTTGACCAAATCGAACTGTGAGGCCCTGAACCTCCTGATAATCTCAATGCTCTTGAAAAGGTTTTCCATTGCACTATTGTCATAAAGCTTCGCCCCATGTCCGGGAGCTCCCGTAGACTTTATCACCAGCCACCACGTTATCCTCTCCGCATAGAATAACCTAAAATTCTCATTAGGCGAAGCCAACCCTGTTTCTCAAACAACTTAAACATCATCATCACTAACATACAGAAGAGGAAAAAAACCAAAATCCCATCATGCTTATAAATTCCAGGCCCTAACCGGCAAGCTAAAGAATGAATAAGAAGCATTGTATCATTGCATATAAGTAATTAACTATTAGCCATTTCAAACATGATTAGAGTTTTCCCCCTTTAAATGAACTTTAAAAAGCAGTAAAATTAGGATTTTACCTTCATCAAGCACTATACCAACATTCATACTCTTGAAGACATCAGAGTAAACAAGCTTCTCAACACCATCATGGCCACCAATCTCCTCATCGGGGACAAACGACAAGTAAAGAGACCGTTTCGGCTGAAACCCAAAAATCGTCAACTTACGAATAGCCTCCAGATACTGCATCCCAACGCACTTCATATCCTGGGATCCCCGAGCAAAGATATTGCCTTGTTCGTCGATATGGGCTCCAAGAGGAGGATGAATCCACTTGGAATGTTCGAAGGGGACGACATCGGTGTGGGAGTTAAGTAGGATAGAAGGGAAGGAAGGGTCGGAGCCTGGCCATTTGAGGATGACGAGTGGTTTGCCTTTGACGAACTCTATGATTTGGAATTCTAAAGAAAGGGATTTGGCTTGGGTTAGGATAAATTGGGTGGATTTATCGTAGTCTGGGGATGGTTGAGCTGTGTTGATTCTGAGGTATTCTTGGAATCTTGAGATGATTTCGGATTGCTCATCTTGGGTTGGCATTGTTTTTGAAATTACGAGGATAGGAAATATAAGTAAAGAAAAGAGTAGAAGACGACGATTGAAGTTGCACAGTTTTTCCATAGAATTGATTCAGTGGCTTCTTCAAAACTTTGAGTTGGGTATTTTAGTTCACAACTATTCATTTTAGAATAAAATATCTTTTTGTTGGTTTAAAATTATTAGTTGACTAATTGTTAAAATTTCATATGAATATGATAAATCCATGTGGGATGCCACTTCGATAAAAAATAATTTTAGAATAAATTATATTTATAATTAATTATATATACATTTATAAAAATATATTTAAAAATAGTTAAAAAATATTTTTTGATGATATGATATTACACATAAACCTATCACATCAATAGATTCGTTGACTATTAGTCAACTAACGATTTTTATCCACTCAAGAAATATTTTATTCTAAAATAAAATGTTAGGAAGTTAAAATGCTTCAAAAAGAAGATAGAGATAAAATGACTAAAAAAGAAGATAGCAATAAAGTGATTACTTATGCAAATGTTACGTATAATTTTTATTATTATGTCAATGATTATTTAAATATTATATGATTGTAAGATTTTAAGTTAGTAATTATAGACCATCCATGAATTGTAAATTTTAAATTTTAAATATTAATTTTTTATTATATAGGGACCTCCTAATTTAATTTATTTTATTCGTAAACTCCTCGGTTCATACTCATATCCTTATTTAAGTGATTAAATGTCCCATCCCATTAAATCAACTTATTGTTGGTATTTTTTTAAACTGTAACAACTTAATTTTATAAGAGAATAAAAGGTTTTTGTAACATAATCATGAAATTAATTCTCAATTTATCACAATATTTCTATACTAATTTTTCTTCTACCATCTTGTTAGTTCTTATGAACTATCAAAATAAGCTACAATGGGTGAATTGACCTTTTAAAAATTTTGGTGAAAGAAACTAAAAAAATAAAAATATTTGCACAACGATTTAGAGTGGTTCAACTTTATTAATCAAAGTCTACATCGAGTATCCTAGCATTCACATTCAGGATTTTTCAATTCCACTAGATTTTCCTACCTTTAAGGACAATTTTTGTAACCTTACAAACGTTTCAAAATTTATTCCCAAAAACATTGGATACATATTCTCACAAAGAGTAAATACAAATTAAGCAAACTAAAAGAAAACCTCACACAGAAAAAATATGTTTGTACAATTTAAGCACTCTATCGACACCGTTTTTCGCCCGGGCATGGGAAAATTAATACCGACTTAGGGTTTTTTCTTTGAAAAAGTTTTGAAATGTGAGGAGTCGTCACCAATCATTTTAAGGTGCGATTGAGGCACCATAAAAACTGGATGATTTTAATAAAACATTTTATTTTTATCAAAATACCAAGTTTTGGGGTTTGTGAAAATCCAGAAATCAGGTTCGGAAGTCGGTTACGCTTAGGGAAGAATTAGCACCCCCACAAGCGCCCAAAAATTGGTACCTAGATGATTACCCTATATTTAGAATCGAAACTTTTTAGTTCGAACTTTATCTAATTTAAACAATCATTACAGATGCAAAGTTAAAAAGAGTATTCGTTTATTAAAGCCAATAGTATTCACCCCCTAGCATGAATACAAGAGACTAGCTATTGTGCCCAATAACCGAATATTGTCTCGATATTTTAGAAATAATGATGCGGTTTTGAAAAGGATGTCGACCTATTTCGGGAATCACCAATAGTCACCCCTTGAGCATACTTGCAGAAGATATACTATTGACTCTCTAATAAGTGAACATTGCCTTGTGTTTTAAAATAAAATGCAATCAAACAATTTATTATTAATCCTAATTAAACTAAAGGATAGATTTAGGTTTTTTCTATCTTAAAGCGTCAAATTATGAATAATTAAGGAACCTAGAGGCATAAACCTAAAAACGTAGGCTCTAATATTAATCATATTTGATTTTAACCAGTTATTGAATCGAATAATTGAGATGGTCCCTTGAGCATTTGGGAGAGGGCCAACTCAAATTATTCCCTAAATTAAAAGGACTAGATTGAAATCGAACTAAAGTAGAGGTTTCAACATTAATTTTAATTAATTTTAATCAATCATGCAATTCAAATAATTTAATTGGAACCTCGAACAAAAATGAGGACCAACTTAAGAATTCTCTTGATTTAATGACTAAATATGAAATCGAATAATTAAAAGATTATGGGCTAAATCTAATAAAAGGTGAGCCATCAAGGACTAAATTAAAAGGATACAAATATTAAAGATAATTAAAATATATAAAAGGACTAAAATTAAAGTACTAAAAATGAATGGTAAAAAATAATAAATAAATAAAATAATAAATTAAAGTAATGAAATTAAGGACTAAAACTAAATAAAAAAAATAAATAGTATAAATTTAAATGTACATAAAATTAAATAACAAAAATAAAAGAGCAATAAAATAAAATAAAATGTTACCATAAATTTTTAATATTTAACCCAGACCGTAAATAATACGAGTCGTACCCTGGGGCGGGTCTTCGCAAGGTCGTACTATGGTTTAAACATAAACTAAAATACATAAATAAATAAAAAGTTAGCAATTAGTAATTAGCGGTTAGAACAACTATCTGTTAAAAAAGTTAGCGATTAGTGGTTAGCAGTTAGAAATTAGCGGTTGGTGTTAGAAATGTTAGTAGAGTTCGGACCATAATAATGTGGATCACACCCAGATCAGGTCGGCACAAGGTCGTATAATAATTCAAACAAATTAATATAAATTAACAGTTAGGAGTTAATAGAGTCTGGACCATAATAATGTGGATCATACCCCGGATTGGGTCACCACAAGGTCGTATAATAATTCAAATATTAATAAGCAATAATAAATAATGGAATTAATACATCATATTTGAAATGAATAAATAATGATATGAGAAGTGACCACAATTTAATAAAAATAATAAAGCAACAACTAAATTATAACAAATAAAATAGAAAAAAATAGTGACCAAATCAAAATAAAATAAAACATAGGTCAAAATTATAACAAATAAAAACACAAAAACATGGTGGCCAAGATGCAAATACACAGCAGAAGTAGAGGGACCTGAGTGTAATTTTCCCTAATACATATGGCCAAAATACAAAAGTGATACTAAAATAGGGGCCTCGGCGTGATTTACCCTTTTTTCTTAAAACCAAAATATTTCCCTCATTTCACGTAAACGGTCGAGAAGCTTACCAAGCTTCCAAAACTCCTCACCGTCGGCCACATATCGGCCCTCGCATGTCGACCATCGGGCAGTAACCACCCTACTCCAACAGGGCAACCCCGACAAGACTAAAAGAAGCCCGACCAGATGCTTCCGCACCCCGTTCAATCTCTCTCTCTCTATATGACCGAGAAGGCTTAAAACCGAGCCTCAACACTGCGACACTCGTAAGGAACTCATCCATGTCGCCAGTCACCACAAAGCCCAGAAATTTCTTCGATCAAGAAAATCGAATCGACCCTTTTCCTACTCTCCTCTCTTCCTCGGTAAAAAAACACAACCCTAAACCTCACACTAATCTGGAAAGCTACATCGGTGACCCAACTACCCCAACGATGCCACCTCCGACTGTGGTTAAGAACTCACCCCTCTATGAACCACCTTAACCCGTCAAGAAAAGAAGGAAATGTAAGCAAAAATAAAAAGAAAATGGAGTAAAGCTTCACCTTTTTTCCATTCTTTTCCTAGATTTTTGGGAGAAAAAAGGGGGGCTGATACATGGGTTGGTTGGGGTTATTATACCCCAACTACTATAATATTATATTGTTTTTTAATTATAAAATAATAAAAATGAAAAATAGTGGTTACATTTGCCCCTCTTTGCTCATTGCTGTGGAACAATAATAAAGCAAAGATAGTAAACACCATTTTTTATTTGGCATGAGTTGCTAAAATCTTGAGCTCCAATTTCTTATGATCGGGCGGGTTCTTCTCATTATGAACTCTTCACTGGGGATATCAATCTACTCTCTTCTGTGATGGTTGGCCTGATTGAACAAGTTCTCATTATGAACTTCATCTTTAAAAAATGTTAACCCATCTTTTTTACGATATTTGACCCAAGGTGATGCTGATCCAACTCCTTATGTGGAATCGTCGAGTCGTTGCTGCAAATGATGTCATCTTTGCTTCGTTCTCTTAGCTGAGTCTCCATCTCCAGTTCTTCATGTTTAATCTCACACCAGCGTTCCTTGATCCTCCACCGAATCGTCCTCTCATCTTATAATTTAATGGCTCACCTCAATGAGTATTTGAAAATCTTGTCATCTCGCTCGCTCCAACCTCACAAATAACAAATTAGAGAAAAATACATCTACCATTAATTATCACATCTAAGAATTTATTATTATTATTATTATTATTATTATTATTATTATTATTATTATTATTATTATTATTATTATTATTGACTTGTTTCATCCTGCCCGAAGGTCTTACAGACGACACGAAAGATTTGGGCATCATGCTCGAAAGACTTACTGATGGCCTGAAGGACTTACTAAGTAAGAAACTTTGGAAATTGTTTTCTTACTTTTCAAGAAAAATCAATTTTCAGAAAAGATTTAAATGAGAAATTTTGGAAATCGATTTCTTATTTTTTGAAAATCATGTGAAAACATCCTGCCCAAAGGTCTTATGGATGACCCGAAGGATTTAAACACCTTGCTCAGAAGACTTATTGATGACCCGAAGGACTTACTAAGTAAGAAACTTTGGAAATCATTTTCTTACTTTTCAAAAATAAAATTTTAGAAAAGATTTAAATGAGAAACTTTGGAAATTGCTTTCTTATTTTTCTTTAAAATCATGTGAAAACATCATGCCCGAAGGTCTTATGGATGGCCTGATGGACTTATCATCTTGCTTGAAAGACTTATAGATGACCGATGGATTTAAGCATCATGCTCAAAAGACTTGCTGATGCCCAAAGGACTTACTCATCAAGAAACCCTTGAAAATCAAGCTTAGATTATTTAAAAATTCATTGGAAATAACCATCTAGAAACCCCTAAAAATCAGGCTTAGCTTCTTTTAAAATTCATCATGACAAGAAACTTC